GAGGAGGAGGAGGAGGAGGAGGAGGAGGAAGAGGAGGAGGAGGAGGAGGAGTAGAAGAAGGAGGAGGAGGAGGACGAAGAGAACGAGCAGGTTGAGGAAGAGAAGGAGGAGGAGGAGGAGGAGGAGGAGGAGGAGGAGGAGAGGAGGAGGAGGAGGAGGAGGACGAGGAGGATGAACAGGAACAAAAGGAGGAGGAGGAGGAGGAGGAGGAGGAGGGGAGGAGGAGGAGGAGGAGGAGGAGGAGGAGGAGGAGGAGGTGGAGGGGGAGGAGGAGGAGGAGGAGGAGGAGGAGGAGGAGGAGGAGGAGGAGGAGGAGGAGGAGAGGAGGAGGAGGAGGAGGAGGAGGAGGAGGAGGAGGAGGAGGAGAAGGAGAGGAGCAGAAGGAGGAGGAGGATGAGAAGGAGGAGGAGGAGGAGGAGTAGGAGGAGGGACAGGAACAGGAGGAGGGGGAGGAGGAGGAGGAGGAGGAGGAGGAGGAGGAGGAGGAGGAGGACGAGGAGGAGAAGGAGGAGGAGCAGGAGGAGGACGGAGAGGAGAGGAAGAGGAGGAGGAGAAGGAGGAGGAGGAGGATGAGGATGAGGACGAGGAGGAGGAGAGGAGGAGGAGGAGGAGAAGCAGAAAGAGGAGGAGGAAGAGGAGGAGCAGGAGGAGGAGGCGGAGGCGGAGGAAGACGAGGAGGAGGAGGAGGAGGAGGAGGAGGAGGAGGAGGAGGACGAGGAGTGTAAGGAGGAGAGAGAACCCTCCTGAATGCTCAAGCACTGCAAGCACTGCAAGCTCTGCTGACGGTGGATGCTGGGCTCTCGGGGAGAGGGCGTGCCCTTCTTAGTCAGCTGCGCGCTGTCGTCGGCTTTTGGGTCTGCTGCCCTCGCAGGGTGCTCTCCCTCCTGCTTGGCTCTCTGGGCGTCACGCTTTCGTTGTCTTATCGTGGCGTCGGCTCAATATTTCAAGCCCCGTGCAACGAGCGAGCGAGCGCGGGTGGGGGAGGAAGGGGAGGAGAGGGAGGATGGATGACGGAGAAGGGACGGAGGATTATGATGGGGAGAGTTCGAGGGATGAGTGGGGGCAAGAAGGGAGGTGAGGTGGCGCGTCCGCAGCTCTCCTTTTTTCCCCCATGGCTTGTCGCAGGCCCACTCGTCAGATATCATATTGCTCGAGCGCAGCTTCTCTACAAGAGGGTCCAAAACATCGAAACCGTTGCACTTGAAAAAGGATCGGGGCAGAACTTCCAGAATCCTGAACAACTTCATTGTGCAAGCCTATAACGCTGGCGGCACAACATGCCCCTGATCCCCGCAGAGTGGCGTCGGATGCGTGCTCGACCCCTCCGCCTGCGCGGCGATCCACAAAACGGGGAGCGTGGCGAGGCTTGGCGGCGCGCAGCACCGGGCAGGGCGAGGGGGGTGGGGAGGGAAGACTTCCAGGGAGAAGGGAGACGCGGGGCTCGGGCTCGGGGGGCTCGCAGCGCGGCAGAGGCAGTCCGCACGCGCGCTGTGGTGGGCCAGGCGATGGCAGGCACAGCTCTCCGCCGGGAGGGGGGAAACGGGGGCGAAGCGCCGCCGCGGAGTCACTTCGGCTGGAGCGGCCCGGCGGCCAGCCTGCTCCGACGCTGCCTGGCAGTGGGCGCGGGGCGGCACCGCGGCCGCGCCCAGGGGCCGAGGCGCAGGCCGCAGCACGAAAGCGAGGACCGAGTCGCGCACCGGTGCAGAAGAAGAAGAAGAAGAAGGAGAAGAAGAAGAAGCGGCGAGCGAGCCCACAAGGCGGCCTCCAGGTGTTCGTCAGAGGCCTCTGCTGCAGGGGCGGGCTGGCGGATGCGGCAAGGCCCGTGCCCACAAAAAGGGGGTAGGGGGGTAGGGCCGCGATAGCCCGCGGCAGCCACGTTCTGCAAGAGCCCTGCTGAGCTGCTGAGAAGCGGGCACTGGGACTGCTGCGCTGCCAGGGGGGGCGCGAACTATGCCAGATGCTGCTGGACGAATTGCCGATGCCACCAGCTGGGGCAACTCTTGAGCAGGGGCCGACCGTCCCGGCATTGCAATAGGCCTACCACGAACTGTTGCTTGAATCCCAACATGTTCTAGTACTAAGACACTGTTCTTAGGACATCAACCCGATGTGTTCAAACCGGACAGCCTCAGCCATAAATGTTCTAAGAACATGTCGTGAAGACCGCATGAGGTTCTTAGAACATTCTTTGGTGGGCCTATAGGCAGGCCAGGGCGCTTCGCCACTGCTCGAAACTCAGCACCAAGCCTCGGCCATCGGGGCCGGGGCGGTGCCCAGCGGGGGCGCGCGGGGGCGAGGCGGCGGGCGAACCCGAGGGAGCGACCCCTAGGGTGGCTGGCAGAGGCGCCCATGAGGCGACCGGCAGGTCTGTTGGGGGGGGGGGGGGCGGGGCAGCTGTGGAGGAGCGCGCCGGCGGGCGGCACTGTGCCGCAGGTCGCGCGGGGATGCCCCGGCGATGGCAGGGGCGGGATGCGGCGGGCGGAGAGCCGGAGCGCCTTGCGGCAGGCGCGGCGGTGCGGGGCGGACAGAGGGCGCCCTGCCGGTCGATGCAGGCAACGCCGCAGGGAGGCCGCGGGCCGCCGCGCCGCGAAGCCAGCCGGCGCGGGGGCCAGCTGCTGGGGCGGCGGCGCAGGAACCGCCGGCCAGAGGGAACTCTCCGGACCGGAGGTGCCAGCCAGAGATCATCGCATGGCCCAAGCATGGCGCACGGCGGAGGGGAGGCGGCACCAGGAGGAGCCTGCCGGGGCGGGGCGGGGCCACCCCCCAGGACCCTCCGGGCTGCGGGGAGTGCTGCGTCGGCAGGGAGCGAGGCAGTCACCTTCTCGCGCGCCCGCGATGTCATGGAGCATCGCGCCAGATCGGTGCACGAACATTCTGCGTGGAAGCGCCCACCTGGGGGGGGCGGGCGCTCCGCCGCATCGCGCCCAGGCGCGGGCGCTCCAGCCGTGAGCAGGGGAGGATCCACCAGGGGGGGGTGGGCGCCCCCGAAGAGGAAGAACGAGGGGTGGCGCGCCGCCTGGCGGGGGGGGGGGGGGGACGCGCCCTCGGGAGCAGCGCCCGATCTGTGCGCGTACATGTGACAGAGACACGGGGGCTTACCTGGGGGGTAGGCACCGCGTAAGCTGTCATTGCTCCAGGGATGCCCGAGGGCTCAGGACGCCGAGCTGAGCTGCCAGGGCACGGGAGGGCGGTCCCGGCTGAGGGCCCAGGAGGCGCCGCTGGCCCCCCCGGGGAGTGGTCGCACACTTGCCCGGGGAAAAGCTGGGGCACGGCGGGAGGGATGAGTCAGTCTGGTTGTGCCCGACAGTCCAAGCACGGACAGAAACGTCGCCCGACTGCCTGAGCGGATCACCCCACAACGCTCCGAGGGTGGCGAGGCGGTCGCTCGCCGCGTTGGGGCGGCGCCTGACGGCCTGCCACGTAAGGGCCCAGCCTCGCTCGAGAAGGACCGAATCTCAAGGTCCATCTGCGAGGCGAGCGGACGACGTGCCGGCCAGCGTGTCAAGCCCTGCCCTGCAACCGGTGGCTGCGGCCAGCTGCTCGCCGTCAGAGCCGCGTATGGCAATGGCGCAGGAGGCCCACCGTGCAGGGGGGGACCCCGCCCGGGTGGTGCTGTTCGAGGGTGGCCCCTGCGCCCGCAACCTGAGCCCGGTTGTCGATCGACCGCGCCCCACCATCAAAGGTCACCTCCATGGGCGGGGTCCTTGCAACCACGACCTCCGTGACGGGGTACAGCTGCTGGTTGGGGCGCAGGGTCTGGCGGTGTTGCCTGTAGGTGGAGCAGGAACGTGCGTCCCACCTGGCATTGGCATCAGTGTCCGACACTCGCGGGCAAGAAAGCCACCCTGGCCCTGCTAGCATCCTCCCCCCGCGAACACTGGACCGTCAACATTCAGGGCAGGTCCGTCGAAAAACGTCGGCAAACCAGTGCGCCAGCGAATTCGAATCTCACGCTTCCGCGAAAGGAGGCGCCCGGCCTCTGAGGTCCTCTTTGACATCAGAGCGGCCGACCCCTTCTGAGAGGCGCCCTCCCCGCCCTTTTGGAAGGCCGCCTCCATTCGCCCTGCTCGCCACCAACCGTCCCAGGAGTGGGGAGGCATGGCCCTCCGCGCAGCTCCCCCCTAGCGTTAGCATGGGGAAAGCGGTGACGGTGACAATGGTGAGGAGAGGAGATTGGATGGACTAGCGCACGGCCACGCGCGCGATGCTCCAATCCATGCCGCCATGTCCGCCACGGCACGCTGTCGAGCGCGGGATCGCGCGAGGCCACGCCGCGCGCAGTGTGATAGTGTGATCGCACGATGGTTGCACCCCGCGACAGGAGATACAGCATGACAAAGGGTACTCCGGATTCCATAATAAAGTCGGGGGGGTCACATTTTGGGGGGGTCTGATTTGAGCTGTCATGGAGGGTTCGGGGGGGTCTGGGCAAAGGGCCGCCCTTTCATGGATGGTCTGGGAGGGTCTAAAACTTCTCGTCTGGGAGGGTTGAGACCCCCTCCCTTTTATTACGAACTCTGGAGTACGCCTCCGTCACCGGCTCGTCATCCCGAGCCGTCTCGTGACGGCCCCGGAGCCCGTGGAGGGCCCCGAGCGGCCGCAGGCGGCGAGACACCTCGGGACCCCTTCCCCTCCGGCCCCCCCTTCCTTCTTTAAGGGGCCCCAGAACACACAAATAAATACACATAAATAAGAATATTCCCAATATTTTCCCATATTTTCTGGGTTTTTGTCGTCCCCCCCACTTCCCATATTTCCTCATATTTCTGGGGAATCGACGATTAATTGTGTCTGTGTGTTTTTTCCTTCCTGACTTCCTTCCTGGCGGCTGGCTGCCCCGGCCTGCCCTGGCTGCTCCCGCCGGGGGGCCGCCCTCGCCGCCGGCCCTGCGAGGCGGAGAGGGGGGGTCCATGCAGACCTCGTCCACGTGCGGCTCCGCCCGCCGGCGGCGCAGCCCCGCACGCCCTCCGCGGCGCGACAAAAAGTTAGGCCCGCGGGCCTCACGCGAGCCTCGCGGCGACCGCCTGCTCCGCGATGAGCACCGCGTTCAGTGCGGCGCCGCGCAGGAGCTGGTCGCCGGAGAGGAAGAACTCGAGGCCGTGGTCGCCGAAGATGATACTCTGGCGGATGCGGCCGACCTCCACGTCGTGGTTGCCTGCTCTCGGGGCTCCAGAACTAGGAGGCCTCCTCGGTGTGGTCGGAATCGATGGGCTCGGAGGCTCGCGCCGTATCGCCGCTGTATTGGCGATGCGCCGGCGACGTCGGCGACGCATCGGCGCCGTCGGCGTGGAGAAGCTCGGGCTCCACATCGAGCGGCATCGCCGATGCGCCTCCGACGCGGTGCGACGACCCTCCGACCCCAACTGCTCGGGCCCCCTCTGTTGAACAAGGACCGACCGTCCCGGCATTTCTATAGGCCTATCGCGAAACGTTCTTAGAACCCGGAAAGGTTCTAATCACAAAAACAATGTTCTTATAACATCAACCCGATGTGTTACATCAAGACAATCCCAGCCAGAAATGCTCAGATTGTCAGATAACAACTCGCGGAAGCCACGAGAGGTTGTTAGAACATTGTTTGGCAACCCTATAGGCGAGCCAGGACGCATCGCCACTGTTTGACTCTGGGAAGCCTGCACATCAACTCGGCCACGCGCAAGAGTGGCCCCGGGTAAGAGCGACCTCTGGTGCGCGGCCTTTTGGGGGCCGCGGGGGGACCCAACACAAGAGCGCAAGACGCTACAATCGGATCGCGTTCGGCGATCGGGCGACCCCGTTGGGCCCGCACCAAAGGTCACTCTGGCGAACGGTCACTCTTACGGCAGGTTCGTGTCGTGCCGACCCCAGCGTTGGTTTTTGACACCGCAGGGATCGTTCAACCTTGAACGATCGGCCGCTGCCGCAACGTCCGATCGTTCAACATCGATCGATTCTGGGTCGCCGGCGGCGTTCAACCTTGAACGCCCGCGCTGGGGTCTCCGCTGGTCGACACGACGCAAACCTACCGTACGACTATTCGAGCGGTACGACCCTCCGACCCCAGCTTCTCGGGCCCCCCCTGGGAGGCCTGGACAGAGCACGTGCGGTGACGGACCGCGTGGTGTTAAGGTCGGGACTGTCCTCCGACGGGGGGATTTTGTTGGCGAACAAATTAAGAATACCCCATAAACATACGCCCAAAAGATTGAAGCAATGGTCAACACATCGTCCCCAGACTATCTTTGGACTATGTTTGAATATTTCCTGTCCATTTTTGATTATTTTTAACTATTTTCGTTTTTTTTATCTCACTATTTTCGACTATTTTTGCATTTCCCCCCCCTGTAGAGGGACGGCCCCGAGTTGACTCTGGGAGGCCTGCGCAGAACACGTGTGGTGGCGGACCGCGCGGCGGCCGCGGACGCCCCAGGACCTCGCCGCAAGGCGCTCCGTCACCGCACGGTCTTTCATGGGGCCCCCGGGAGGCCGCAGGCGCCCGAGGCGTCCCCGGGGGAGGACCCCAATGGTCTGAGGTCGGGCGTGCCCCCTTGCAGGCGGAGCTTGGACGGAAAATACAGAAAAGTCCACATGGTCAAACAACAATGGAAAACAAAACAATAAAGAAAATGGTTGAAGCATCGTCCCCAGATTATCTCTTTTACTATTTCTGAATTTCCCTCCTGTAGGGGGTAACAAAAAAAGCAAGAACATACATAAGCAAAAACAGAAATACAACAATTCTCAACAACTGGTTGACAAGTCGTCCCCAGACTATTTTGTAAACTATTTTTGAACATATTCCTCCTGAAGAGGGACATGCCCGACTGAACCCGAGTCTTAAGACCGTGCAAGGACCGAATCCCCCTCCGACTCAACACGTTGGTCCCCCTCCGAAAATTTGGCTTCTGGGCCATAGCTCGGGTCTCTGGTGGCCGTTCGGGACGATCCGGGCACCCCCTGGACGCTCTCGGCGAGGCGAGGCTGCTGGAACGCATCCCGAGGCGCGAAAACCGAGCGCGAAAACCAACAAAAAAGTTTGAAAACGTATAGTGATCCAGAATCCCCACTGACTCACCACGCGGTGTGGTCACCAGTCGCCACACAGTTTGTTGGCGGCGCGCGCAAGGGGGTATGGAGGAGGGAGGAAGGCTTCTCAGAAGGAGGCTGCTTCTTAGAAGGCGCCGTCCCTACATCTACAGACACAGCCCGCGCTTTCAAAGAAGCAGAGGTGCTTCTTTAGTAACTGTTCCCCCTCCCCCTACCCCCTTCTGCGCGTGGCCGACCCTCTGCTGATGATCGTACATGTCCGCGGGGCCCTCGCTGGTCTGGCGAAGGCGCCGGCCCGGGGGCCGATCCTACACGTCGTTCGAATCGTGTTCATTTCTACTTGTGCTCGTTTCTAATTGTTCCTGGCCCCCTAGTGGCCAGGAGAAGGCCCAGGATAGAACAATCAGAAGAGAAATGATCTTGCCCCCCCAAACATCAAACCACTTTCGAATACTTAGAAATGAACAATGAGTATATCTACAGACACAGCCCGCGCCTTCTAAGAAGCAGAGGTGCTTCCAAGAAGCCTTCCTCCCTCCCCCCCTTAAATACCTCCCCTCTGCGCGTAGCCGACTCTCGGCCGCCCAGGCCCGAGTCGAGCTCGAGTCCGAGCCCCATAGGCCAGAGCTCGAGTGCAGAGCCCGAGCCTGAGCCCGAGCGAGCCTGAGCGAGCCCCAGCACGAGCCCTCGGCCCCCGAGCAGGGGGCCACTTCCAGGCCCCCCTTGGGGCCGTCAGAGGCCCGCTCGAGTCGAGGAGCGACGAGGAGGAGGAGGAGGAGGAGGAGGAGGAGGAGGAGGAGGAGGAGGAGGAGGAGGAGGAGGAGGAGGAGGAGGAGCGAGGAGGAGGAGGAGGAGGAGGAGGAGGAGGATGGAGGAGGAGGAGGAGGAGGAGGAGCGAGGAGGAGCGAGGAGGAGGAGGAGGAGGAGGAGGAGGAGGGAGGAGAGGAGGAGGAGGAGGAGGAGGAGAGGAGGAGGAGGAGGAGGAGGAGGAGAGGAGGAGGAGGAGGAGGAGGAGGAGGAGGAGGAGGAGGAGGAGGAGGAGGAGGAGGAGCGAGGAGGAGGAGGAAGAGGAGGAGGAGGAAGAGGAGGAGGAGGATCCCCGTGCAGGGGCCCCCCTTCTGCGCGAGGCTGAGTTTGCTCTCCCCCCCCCCCCTTCCGCTGGGGCAGGGCAGCGTTGAACGCCCGCGCCCGCGCCGCCGCCGCGCCGAGACGGCGCGATCCCACCGCACGCTCGAGAGGCGTTCGAGGGGCGGCCGAGGGGGACGACTTTCTGAGAAGATGGTGATGATGGTGACGATGCTGACGACGACGATGATGCTAGTGATGATGGCGCTGCTGATGATGATGGTGACGACGACGACGGCAATGATGCTGATGATGATGGTGGTGAACTGATGATGATGCTGATGGTGACGCTGATGCTGATGATGCTGATGATGATGCTGATGCAGATTGGTGCTTCTGCTGCTGAAGATGATGATGATGCTGCTGCTGATGATGATGAGGTTTGAGGGTGATGATGGAATTGTTGTTGGTGTAGAATCTTCATTTCTACAGAATCATTATGGTTGATTCCCCCTGGTGCCCATTGTTCTTTTTGAATTAACGTGTTACTCCCAGGGCTCGCACCCTGTTTTCTTATAAGTGGGAGTCTGGGTCTTCAAACAATGTTGTCGGCCCCCGGTTTACAACAACAACAACAGCAACAACAACAACAACAACAACAGCTCCCGCCTGATACTTCCTCACACTGTATTTCAAATTCGCACTCTCGCGCGGGACCTTCTCATAATCAATGCAGGATTCACGCGCTCACGTGGTAGTTCCTCACAATTTGTTGTGCCGCCGTGCCCCCGCGACTCAGGACTCACGCTCTCGCTTTGGATTTCCTCACGATTTACTTGGGAATCGCGCGATCGCTCAAAACATCTTTGCGATCCATGTCGGATTGACGCTTCAGCGACCCGTCCGCTCGACCTGGCCGTCTGGGCCCGCCCGCCCGGCCTGCCTGTTAGGGTCCGCCCGCCCGACCCGACCGCCTGGTTCTGCCGCATGTGCTCCTTATCCAAGCCCTCTTCCTGCAAATCTCTCTCGTGCTCCATCCTTCTCCCTCCCCTTGTCTCTTCCCTCCTCCCTTCCTTCCCCTGCTTTAGGGGCGGCGCCAAGTACACGCGGCAAGCAGGGAAGCTATACCCCCAACGTGTGTACGATCGGCGTTGCAAAGGACGGGTATCGAGAATTTGGGATGTACGTGCTGAGCGGCACGCAAACAGATAAGAGCGTGCACTACTAAAATGATTGTGGTTGTTGATGGTGATGCTGATAATCATGATGATGCTGACGATGACGATGACGATAACGATGCTGATGATGCTGGTGATTATGGCGATTCTGAGGTTGATTATGATGTTGTTGCTGATGGTGATGACCATCGCCCGCGTCAACAACAACATCACCAACAACATCAGCATCAACCACCAGTATGATGAGCGGCGAAAGGAACCTGGTGCTACGCGTACGCCATGGCGACCTTGCGCCGCGGCTTCCGCGGCCCGCCAGCGTGGCACACCGCGTGGAGGAGAGGACGCTCACTCGCGGCCTTGCGCGGGAAGCCTGCGCGCGAATGCCCGCGCAGTCGGCCCCGTTTCCCCTCGTCCCTCCAGTGGGCCTCCCGGAAAGGGCCGCCCGCTCGAAAAACGTTTTTTCCGTCGGCACGATCCGCTCCAGCGTGGCAGCGATGCAGGGGCACTACAGAGCGAGTTGGCCGCCCGCTCGAAAGACAGACGCCCAGCACTTCTTCTGCGCCGGGAGGAGTGCCCGCCTCGTAATTGAGCAGGGACCGACCGTCCCAGCATTTTTATAGGCCTACCACGACATTTTCGTAGAACCCAAACATGTTTTAGGAACAAAAGCAGTGTTCTTAGAACATAAACCCCATGTGATAAAACACGACATTCCCAGCCAGAGCTGTTCTAAGAACATGTCGTGGAAACCGCAGAAAAGGTTCTTGGAGCATTGTTTGGTAGGCCTGCAGGCATGCCAGGGCGCTTCGCCACTGCCTGACGTGAGGCCATCCCCGCCTCGCCACGGCCCCCTCTCCCGCGCGGCTCCTCTGAGGCCATCCCCGCC